CATGTTATTTTTAACAGAAAAGCAAGCATGTGCTGCTGCGTGCATGGTTTGGCATGGCAGAATGCGAGCAGCGTGCTTCCTTTATTATCACTAAAAGCTGACATCTCAGTTAATCGCAATCTCATAAAGCTCTGTTATATCACATTAAATATATGCACAATGAATTTTTCACAGTGTCTACACTTAAAATTGTTAAAATGAGAGGATTCGTGAGCACGCAATTTCAGCACTGCGGTGAGTAGGCTATATACTGTATTCTATATACAGTACCAGTCAAAAGTTTGGACACACTAATGGGAAGTGTGTCCAAACTTTTGACCATACTGTACTATAATATAGCCTACAAATAAAGAATATTGGCCGATATATCGATATCGGTCTTTTTTTACTCCTTAATATCGGTATCGGCCCCCCAAAAAAACCCATATCGGTCGGACTCTAGTAATACTAATATTTATTATTATTCCTCAGGTTGTTTCCTATTCTACAATACCAAAGTGTGATATCCCTAGTTTGTTCTGAACCTCCAAGTAAGGTAATTCCTTGTAAATCACAGCTGCTGCATCATCAGTAGTGGTCATGTTATTGATGTAGCATGCATGTAGGACACAGAGGGAAATTTTTGTTGACCAGGTCAATAACGCAAACATCATTCCACTCAATCTGGGTCCTCACAGCAGAGGTCACTGAAGACCAAAGTCTCAAGCCAAAGTTCATTATGAAACCTGATCATCATAAAACAAATAAACCTGCAAGAGTGACACAGTCCTACCGGAACATTCCGTTTACTTAATGGATGCTGTATTTTTTTTCTCTCCCTGAGAGAAACATCTAGTGTGTTTTATAAGTGCTTGTCTCCATGAGAACAGTTTCCAGGTTGTAAGGGTAGGGCTGATAAGGGAATCAGTTACATGTGCTGAGCCTTGTGAGAGCTTCAAGGTTTCCTTCAGGAAGAAACTCCCTGACCTGACTAGTAAAAGCCATGTAACTTACAAACAAATGTGAGCTCCTCTAAAAGATGGAGAAGCAGAGGGTGGGTCTTAATCAGTTTTCTAGTGACAAAAACTGTCAGGTTACACGCTCCAGACAAGGTTACTAATGACTGAAATACCAACGTGTACTTAATTGTATGCAGGTCTAAATAAACACTGAAGCAAAAACACTTCATAAGGCTTGAAAATGTATGACAAAGTAATTTGATAACAGATTTAACTGCAAAGTTCAAATATTCAGGCCCAAACAAGAAATATTCAAAAGGACTCAATAATTAACTCGAAGGCCATCAATCAGCTCTACATCTACAATGACGTATATGTAGCTTTGTTTGAGACTGCAAAACAAATAAATAAATAAACAAATAAGTAAATAAATTTCACTGCAATTTTAGCCATAACATCTTACCATAAATTTATTACAATTATACAGGAGCCGTTTGTTTTGTTTTTTTAACCCAAAGTGACTTCCAACAATGCATGCTACAAATTTTATCGTTAGAGCCAACAATGTTTGAAGTACACAAGTACAATATAGATTAGTACACAATCCAGAGCAGATATAAAATCCAGAAAAGTAGATAAACGTTTTTATTTATTATTTTTTTCTAATTTTGTTTTAAATAAAAAACAACAGATTTGTATTTTTTATTATTTTTATTTATTATTACTAGTTATTTTATATATTATTGATTTATTCAAATAAATGCCTTTGTGAGCATAAAAGACTAAAAAAACTTGCTGATTGAGATATAGATAAGATGTTTTCATTAGTAGACCTTTAGTAGTGTTTTCTTTAGTGTCTTTGATTTGAATCGCTCATGTTGCTTACATCAATGAAGACTATAGTTCTTATACTCCATTTCACTCTCATTCGAGTGAGTGCTGCTGAGTGTTCATTTTGGTGCCCAAACCGTCTTGAAAAAAAAAAAAAAGCTGCAGGTTTCTAAAACTTTCGCCTGGATACAGGGTGTACAGACTGCTTACCTGGAGGTACACTGTAGCGGGTGGCGTTACTGCCGTCGGGCTGGGGTGAGGCTTTGCTAGGAGAGAGTCTGTACGGAGAACCCGGTCTGCCCGCTCCACCGTGAGATTCCTGCTCCATCAGCTTCAGGTCAAATGGCATGTAAGTGAATGGCTTACCTGGGGACAGAACAGAGAAAAAAGTCAGTTACTCACAGACACCAAGCAGACAGACAAAAGACACAAAACAGAACGTCAAGTGTCCTCTCTATTTGCGATCAAGAAAACATCGTATTCAAACCATACAGACTCAACATGCATTAATCATGGGAATAGAAGATATAGAAAGGTTAATTCAGTGCTATCATTGCAAATGCACTGGTAAGAGAAATGTCAAGGCAGGTTTTTAGAGCTACAGGCTGCCGGTCTGTAAGAACGAGGTCGAGCAAAACTTGGTGTTTCTAATGGATATCACTACAAGAGAGTGACCTAATGTTCCTTTTGGTTGGCTGCTTCTGTCTGACTCCATCAAAAACAGCACTGTGTTTCTTAGCTGTGAAGAGCAAAGTCCACTGTCTCGCTCTCTCCCATGCTCTCAACACCCTTCAAAAATCTGTTTTGGAGACCCATTATAAAACAGAGGAGGAGGAAAAACAGAAAAACTTCTGTCTTTGCTCAAACTTCCTGGCATGTAAAAACTGAGCGAGAGTGCATGGGAGGATAGAACAGAGGCACTACAGGCACATCACAATCTATTTGTTTTGCAGCGGTCCATCTGCTTGTCTTTCAGTCTGTTTGTCTCAGGGGAGATTCTGTAACCTCAATTTTGTATTGTTCACTGCTCTCTTCCCTTCAGAGACAGTTCCTTTGTCAAGGAGTTCTCCAAAACAAAAAGTGACAAATGCTCTATTCGGATGAGATTACTTTTATATCGAGGAGGTTGGGTTGATGTCATAATTACCAAAGCTTCTCTGTAATTTAAACCACTTATTAACTGCCCAAGACATTAAATTTCTGGACATTATATGAACATATATATAGACTCCTCTATAAAATGAAGAAATACCCAGAATAAACAAATTCACATGTTGGTTTAATCTATTTTGTTACTGTGAACAATTCATCCATGCATGTGTTTCATCTTTTAACAATTGCTTTGACCTCATAATTTTTATTGAAACATTACTCAATCTTCTGATGAAAACAACTCCTCTCTGGTGGCGAATGCTGGACTTCACCAAACATTTAAACAATCAACTGCAAGCTCACATTCAGATCTGCCTCCATCCAATTAACCGATGGGTAGATCCAAAAAAAGATTTGTCGCCAGTTCCACTTCTTCACGACTTTATAAGCCTGTGAATCTACTCGGTCTGAGAATCTCAAGTGGATATTGACCAAAGAGCAAAGGGACATTTCTTCACAAAACTTCTTAGAGGGAACACGTGGTGCTGGATTTATTTATTTTTTATCAATTTTCTACATTCACCTCAAGTGTTTTTGTGCATTCTTTCTCTCTTTCCTTCTGCGTCTGACTCACCTTCTCGGTCCACTACACTGGGGTTGTGGGTGGTGACTCGCGGCCTGCGGTCAGACTCGTTCTGATCCAGTCTCTGTTTGTCCTCCTGCACGGACTCATGTACAGCTTTGATTTGGTGCTGGAACATAGCAAAGCCGCTCAACGGTCCTCCGGGAACGCTGCTGTGACCGAATGGAGCTGAAACCTAAACAAACCATTCAGGAACAGAGAGGATTCAAATGGGAGCTACATGCTGGACTAATGTTCAGCAAAACTGCTCCATTAGAAAAATTTAAATGATTAAATATTTAAATGCATGACTATTGTTTACTTTGCACCAATATGCTACATTTTCATTAACCTTGTGAACAGCCAATCAGGGCTTAAATCCAGTTAGATTAAATCCTTTTCACAGCCACACCAAATCGCCACAACAGACACCAACAAACAGCACAACTAATCAGCCCAACAGAGCAGCCAAACGTATTTTCACTCGTCATGATTTCAGTGTGGAAAATCAATTGGTATTTGCTGATTCGTTTGCTGATTGCCGCAGAAGCAAATCACAGCACGTGATCTGCGGAGGTGGAGATGGAGGCAGGACTCACGTGGCGGGGTGGCTGGGCCCTGTCTCTGTCCAGAGGGGCATATCTGAATGCTAAGTGGGGGTAGAGGCTATGGGGACTGACCATAGGGGGGATGGTGGCGGCCCGCTTCTGTAGCTGCAGCATGTTGAGGAATTTGGTTGAGGACACGACCACTGAGCCTGCAGCGCCAAGCAATGACGGCTTCTCCAGAGAGAAAAGTCTGCCACAGGAAGGAAGGAACAAGATAATAAAATGTATTAGCTACTGATACTCTACTGCTAGGCACATTTAAAGGGGTTTTAACATATACACAACGACACAGAGACCACAAATCATTTTTCGTTCATTCACAGACTATTCACCAGCTTTTGTAAAATACTAGCTCAAGCACATTCCCATGCTGGACAACTAAATATTTGTTTAGGTAAATACAACAAAAGAAAACAAAAACTGTATTTAATAAAAGCTGAAGCAATATAAATAATTCATTACACATCAGAGCTTGACAGGACAGTAAGGTTTTTTTAAGGCTACAAGAATTGAAATGTATTATTTTACATTTGCATTTCTAATTTAAATGTATATTTTTAGTATTCATTTCAATATTACTGAAAATACAATTACATAATTTTCACACATATACATTATCTTTCAATTAATAAATCACCACCCTATCCATGCTACTAGAAACCAATAGCACTGTATGCATGAAAACCCCATAACAGAACATGAGCAGCGGCGTTCTCACCCTTGTCGGTCAGGTTCAGCATCCACATCCTCATCCGCACTGCAGGTGGCGCTAGAGTCATTATCGGAGTGCTGTTTCTCCTCCTTGTCCTTGACATCCGGCTCAGTCTTCACTTGCACCTGCGCTCTTTCGCTGCTCGGAGCGTTCATCTCCACATCCTGTGTCTCACTTTTTGGATGGATCTGCATTTCATATGCTGAGCGTGTGCGCTCATCCTGAGGAAGCCCGTCTCCAGCTCCTCCTTCCGGACTCTTCTCTACTTTCACCCGTAGCTCGCCGTATGGAGGCTCCTTGGCATCTGCCACTGGGCCTTTGGTTGCCGTGACGTCCTGGGCCGACACGCCGTCCAGAGCCGAGTTGGGATGAGTTGGCGCGTCGAATTTGGAGGGATCAGTTTGAGTTGGAGAAGGCGCACTCTCTGTGTCCGAACTGTAATCGGGACCTGAGGAAAGGAGATGAAAAAGCGTATGATTGAGCCAACACATCCTCTTTAAATTCTTCTTTCATCTGTGCAAAGAGAACACAGAATATCAAACCCAATCTATTTCAATCTCTGCTACAGAAACACAAAGGCAGAGAAGAACCCAAACAACCCTGCCGTGACAGAGAAGAGGCGGCATTTGAGGTCACCATCGCTGCACATGGCATCACGCAATCAGGTTAATGCACTTCTGGACAGCAAACATCCTTTGGCTAATCACTACCTTTCCACTCTTGCCGTTTGATGACACACCCTCCAGGGTCACAGGAAGTGCTACATATAAAATACATGAAGCACTGCATAAACATACCATTCAAATGTTTGGGGCTGGTAACATTTTTTAATGTCTTGGAAAATTCTGTTAAGCTCACCAAGGCTTCATTTATAAAACTTTGTACAAAAATTTTACAATTTAACTGTTTCCTATTTTAATATATATTCCTGTAATGGCAAAGCTCAATTTTCGGCAGCCATTATTCCAAGTCTTCAGTGTCACATTATCCTTCAGAAATCATTCTAATATGCTGATTCACAGCAGTTATTTGAAATAGAAATCTTTTGCAACAATGCAAAAGTCCATAATATCATTTATTCAGTGACGTTGTTGAATAAAAGTTTTTTTTTCATTCTTACTCTTTCCCAAAACTTTGAAAGGTAGTGTGTATACATATATAACCTACAGGCTTACTTACATATCCACATCACAGAAACAGGCTTTACAGGCAAAATCACAGATGTACTCCACGTGCCCGCAGGTTGCAAAGAGCCAAGTTACATCAAGAGTAAAACACATCCAACAACTAGGAAGCAACTATCCTTCTCTCTGAAAATGACTCCTCTCCCTCATCTATAATTCCTCCCTCCTCTTGCTGTGTGGACACTCTCTGCCACTCTCACAGTCTATCTGTTATCTGTCCCTCTGAGAGAGCGATGAAGGGTAACCTGCTTGGCTCCAGGAGTATGTCAGCAGGTGCTACTCCAAAAAGCAGATGTGGAGAGAAAGATAAAAGTTTGAGGGAAGGAGAACAGAAGAAAGCAGCATCTAGCACGTCAATGAAAGCATACTAGGGAAGCAGCCTTGCAGGCTTCTTTTTTTAGCAAGGAGAATCTGAATAAAGTCTATAACGCACCAGGGCAGAGTATTATGTTATTTAAGAGGAAAGGGAGTATAGTTTATAGTTTTAATAAATTAATACTTTTATTTAGCAAGGATGCATTGAATAAGTTTGACAAAAGATTCTATTCCAAATAAATGCTGTTCTTTTGAACGATCTGTTCATAAAATGTTTCCACAAAGATACTAAATAGCAAAACTGTTGATAAAAATTAGAAATTTTTCTTGGGCACCAAATCAGCACATTAGAATGATTTCTGAATCATGTGACACTGAAGACTGGAGTAGTGATGCTGAAAATCCTGCTTTGCCATCACAGGAAGAAATTGCCCCAAACTTTTGAACGGTAGTGTAGATGGGGTGGAAGAAGATGAAGCGAACAAATGGGCACCCAAAGGGAAGGAAAGTGAGTTAAAAGACGTGTAACTAATAATTACTCTACTTTCATTTGAATGCAAGTGTTGTTCCAAGAATGCCGATATGAAGAGTTGGACCAGACAGGTATTGCTGGGCCTGAAATGACTGATTTTCTATTTTCATGTGCAAGTAACTACTCTTATTATGTTTAAAAAGCAAGTTACTCAATATGAACTTTTTGTGTACAGAATTGTATAAAGACTTGAAGTTGTGTTGTAGCACTAAAAATCACACAACCATATCTGAATAAAAGCACAACAGATCAAACATGCTCGGCAGAAGCACTCGGTTTCCTTACAGCGTACTTTTTTGAGGCTTTAAAGCCAGGGAACGCTTACAAAAGAGCGAGTGTGGCAGGCAGAATTAGACCAGATCTCTTATCCTTTCTGCACATTGATTCCCCCTATTTCCACTCTCTTTTCTTTGTGTTTGTGTCTTATTCACTTGTTTCCTCTCCCTTTCTTCCACCTCTCCCCCACCCGGCTGGTTCTCTCCTCATTTGCTCCTGATTCTCACTCATTAAGCGTACAGACAGAAGTAGAGGGAGGATGTTGACCTCTGTGGCAGAGCAGAGCGGTCTGGGGTTTTGCTGTCAGATCTAATCAAACGCTCTGCAGTCAGACAGGACACTGCTACTACTGCTCCCTCACTTCATCCCTCTTTGTGTGTCAGTCTGTCTGTTTCTGCTCTCTTTACATTATGGCTCTGCTGCTTCTCTTCCTCTCTGTTTGATCGGACTCTGGGTTCATGGGTCACAGAGCAAGAGACTGACAGCGATGGGTTTTAGGGTGTTTGTTTAGGCATTAGAGCTTATGTTGGAAGCAGCCGGCTGTAAAAATCTTTAAATCACAGCGAGAGATCATACCGTCACTCTCCTCATCGTCATCAGGCGCAGGATCGCTCTGTGATGGGTCTCGATTTCCACGGAGCCGCCGGGAACCCTGCACACAACAACATAAGAGGTGCAAATCATAAGATATACATGTTAAGAATAGTTCACGACTAAAGATTACACCACAGTCACGTGTATTCGTAAGACATTTTTCAGTTTTTGTCTCCATACAGCACCCTTTCTGACGCCACTTTTAAGTATCATGCTTAAAAACAGCAAAGTACGAAAGTAGTAACTAGGAAAGATATAGATATATACTATTGTTCAAAATTTGGGGGTCAGTAAGATTTGTGTTTTTTAAAGGGGTCCTATTTTGCTTTTTCACTTTTTTAATTTTAGTCAGTGTGTAGTGTGTATGTTTGGGCATAAAAAAGATCTAGAAAGTTACAAATCTCAAAGTCCACTCCAAAGGGAGATATTTCGTTTTAAAAAAATCCCTTTTCAAGAACTACAACGAACGGCTCATTTGGACTACAGCGTTTGTTTTCCGGGCTTTGTGATATCACAAAGCGGCCCATTAGAATATCATTAATAATAATTCCCGCCTACAGAAATTCGAATGGTTGGGGGGTGGGGAGGGGTGAGGTTGTGGTTAGAACGCTTGGTTGAGTGAGTGCATCAGACGAGACGACGAAGAAGAAGTGCTGCTGCAGAGTTAGTGCATCAGAGAAAACGAAGAAGAAGAGCTGCTGTGCTGTAGCTTCAAGTTTTCGGCACGTCTAGAACAATTCTTACAAGCACAACACGACGTAGCTGGGCGCCGCGGACAGACGCCGAACGGCGCCGC